ACACTCCAAAGAGAAAGGAAAACTTGAAATCGCATCATATGACCCCTTTAATACAGAAACTGATTTTATTTTGACAGTCTGACATTCTCGACTTCACACTAACAGTCAGAGTCCATTTAACCTTTCATAGCTGCTCATCACCCCATCATCGTCTCTACAGGGACATGGAAAGGACAGACCTGTCAACATGTCTCTCCCAAGAGCCACTATCCCCTTTCACACCTTACTTTCCATGATGCTTTTATCACCTAGGGAGAAGCATTGATTCCATTAACTTCCTCTCCCGTTTTCCCCTGTTCGTGACCAAGATGCTGCATGATCGGGGACGCAAGACATGACATACCCACTGAAAGTCTGCATTAATGCATGAATATTAATAATACTTCATCTTGTTAAGAATCATGGCTCAGCTCAATGCTTCTCGTTGGTGACAAACTGATGTGTCATAGTTACATTTCACGCTTTGTCTGTTTATTAGGTCAGACAGTTTAAAGTGGTCATAGTGTTTTTTAGAAAATGTTTGCTGGTGTGTTCCTGGTCCAAGGTGGTCTACCAGTGTTTTTCCTCAAAGACTCTGCTAAATCAATACATGTACACTACTGTTCAGAATTTTAAAAAAAAATTTTTTTTATGTTTTTGAAAAAGGTCTCTTCTGCTCTCCAAGGCTGCGTTTATTTGATCAAAAACACAGTAAAAATAGTAAAATATTATTACAATTTAAAATAACTGTTTTGTATCGGAATATATTGTAAACTGTAATTTATTGCCGTTATCAAAGCTGAATGTTCAGCGTCATTACTCCAGTCTTCAGTGTCACATGATCCTTCAGAAATCATTCTAATATACTTATTTGCTGATCAAAAAATTTTTTTGATTATTATTAATGTTGAAATAATGTTTTCCATATTTCTATGGAAACCGTGAAACATTTTTTTCAAGGATTCTTTGATGAAAAGAAAGTTTGAAAGAACAGCATTTATTTGAAATAGTCTTTACTGTCACTGCTTCCATGATGAGTAAAAATATTAGGTTCTTACTGACCCCAAACTGTAAATGTAGAATACTTGATCTAAACAAGGAAATCATTCGGTACCATGATATATATGAAAGTACCATGGTATCTTCACAAATCCAGCTCGACCAAGGTCTGCCCTGTCAAAACCAGATGATGATTCATCAAAAGCTGGTTGAAACTGGATTTTCCAGCAGGGTTTTGATAACGTGGATTTTATACGAGAGTAGTCATGTTGTTTTACTCTTTACTTCAGCTTTGTGCTTTAACCTCTTGAGTCCTTTAGAGAGGATGAGATGAAGTGTCCCGGTGAGGGTGTTTCTTGTTCTTCACCCCTGGCTTTGAGGTGGATTAAAGGGATAGTTCTCCTTCAGTTGCTGGTCCCCATTAACTTCCATAGTATGTAAAAACAAAACAAAACGGTTTCAGATCTCCTCCATCATTCAGGTCGCGCCTGCTATCATAACTTTATATTAGCTTGTGTTTGCTTTTCATTCACATTTAAGTGAGCTGTTCAATCCCTGTTAATTTTTTTTTAATATATATATATTTTGCTGTTGTTATCGCATATATTTGAGTTTTGCATCATTATCCTAATGTTTCCCTCCCTCCATGTCATGCTATAGTCCACATTGTCCATCATGTTGCATAATTTTGGCCTCAGGTTTTCAACAGGCTGTCCAAATGCATGTTTGTCTCCAAAGGGGCTTACTGAAAAGGATATCAAGAAGAAAGAGGTTAAGCTTCGTCTGTGGCGGGTTTTATTTCTGTTGGTAATCTCTGGCGGACCCCTATGGTGCAGTGAAATCCGAGATTATGGTTCATATATGACACTAATGTGTCTGTGAGATGTGCTCTGGATCAGACCACATCATTGCCTTGTTGACATTACAGATAACTAGAAGGACATTTAACTTTTCTCCATTATAACACAGTAGGGCTGAAAAAAAAAAATCGAATTTCGAATATTCGTCGAATTTAAAATAAAAATCCACATTCGAATGCAAAAACGTTGCAAATGAATGCAAACTTTGTTGGCCTAACCAGTTGAAGCCACTGTATGCGGCGCTGCTGCATTGTTAATGTACAAATATTGTGGGAAAAGACAAAGTCAATGTGGAGAAGATCTTGTTTATGTCAAACCAAGCCGTTCACACAGAACGCATATTTTGCGCATTTTCTAGAGGGACATCTATCACCGTTGCACTCGCGTCTCGCACAAAAGAGCCACATGTTTAGAAAGCCATGTAAAATTAATGCAAGTTTAATTTTGAAAAAACATATCTCGAGACTTTATGGCGGGGGTTTTTTCCCCATCCCCATCGTGTTTTTAAATGAAAAATATACTCTGTGTGATTGGCTTTCGGCCCTTTGTATTAAACCATGCATACATACATGATGCAGTTTTTTTAATTGTTTAAGCAACTTAATTAATTATAATTGGTTTATAAACATTATTTTAAACATTATGCACTTTTTTCACAGATAGTCATGTTATCTTATGCTTTGAATAAACGTGCATTAGTAATATTTTGCTCGATGCGCCCTCTTGTGGCCTCAGGAGAGAAGCCAAAAGCTTTTCTTCACCCGAATATAATTCGAATTTTGATAATATTTAAGTACAAAATTCGAATTTAGTTTTTCAGCCATTTTGACAGCCCTATAATGGAGAATTAAAATAATCCATATTTAATTTAATTGTATATTTCATTTCATGAAGCCTATCAAGAGCATGTCATATTTTATTCCAAAATCAAGAGAGAAAATAATTTATGAAGTATTTAAAATCAAGTTACTATCAGTTAAATAATTCATTTTAAACGTTTCTTTGTTGTTTGGAACAGATGATAATTTGATTATCAATTGTCATGAAAATAATGTCACAATGCAAAAATCTTAATGGTCCTAACATTCAAAAAATCATTTAATATTTTATTCTAAAATCAAAAAGAGAAAATAATTTAGAACGTATTTTAAATTAAGTTACTACCAAATAAAATAAATGTATGACCTTATTTATTTATTTATTTGTTTGTTTGGAACAGATGATCCTTTGATCATCGATTGCTCTGAAAATAATGTCACAATGCAAAAATCTTAATGGTCCTAAAATAAGCTTCATTTTCTAAATGATAATTTTAATGATGATGATGATTATTATTATTATTATTATTTTGGATGAATATAAAGAAGCCTGTCTACTAGACCATGTCATATTTTACTAAAAAAAAAAAAAAAACTTTTTTTTTTTTGTAATGGCTGATCCTTATAAATGGTTCTAAAATAAATTTCTTTTTTTTTAATGCAAAATATAATTCTGTTTTCATGGAGTGAAATATTTATATGAACGTATTCTTGACAGACTTGAGATTCATCCTTTTAGTCATACAAATATAATTTGCATTGCAGTAGTTTTGTGGAAAAATGATGTCAGGAATCGATACACATTAATCATTTCTATTTTGTCCATTTAATCATCAAAGTATGAAGGTGAATAGCTGTTTCATGTAAAGCTCTGCTGCTTTTGGTCTGTAGCCCTTTATAGATCTTGAGTCTCGCGTCTGTACTGTCTTGTATCTCCTCAGCGTGACCTCTCAGATAAGCAGCACTAGAGCGGCTGTCAATGGCCCTTCTGTCGGGCTCTTTCTGTCCGCTTCTCTCACTCACTCTGTAGGATATTCTTGGAAAGTGTTATCTGTCCTTCTTGAACCTGACCTCATATCTCTCCTGTCGTTAACCCTCAGAGCACCAGAACTACTTCGGTGTGGATGAAAGCTTGGGTCCGGTGGCCATCAGCGTACGGAGAGAAAAGCTGGATGATGGGAAAGACAAGGAGGCGTCGCAGTATAACTATCGCATCACCTTCAGGACCAGTCAGGTACTTGATGAGTGCACATGAATTACTCGACAAATATTGATGTAAATAAGTATTGATAATTAACTGTTATTTAATTTGATTAATTATTAGTTATGTAATTAATTCGTTTTAATATTAATTGATTGACGTCTCTAATTGTAGTAAAAAATGTTAAAGTTGTTTTAGATATAAAGAATAAATTAATAAATGAACATGGAAATAGTTCCACATTTAAATGAATTCAAGTTTTACCTAATATTAAACATTTAATTATTATTAGGAGGTAAAACTCTCCCTCTTTCAATCTTACAAGCTACAAAATATATTAAATTATGTTATTTATGTTAAAATATAAATATAGTAAAATTTATCATCCCCAGGAGAAATCCATTGCTAATAAACTTTTTTCTGTCCAAATAATGAAAACATAAGCAAATATGTATTTACTTACTTACTTACTTACCTACTTACAATACAAAAATGTCAACCACTATGCAAAAATTTTAATGGTCCTAAAATAAACTTTATTTTCTAAATGATATTTATTTATTTATTTATTTATTTATGTATGTATGTATGTATGTATGTATGTACTCATTCATTTGTTCATTTATGATGGATTATCTTTAATGCAATTTAATTAATGAAAATAATATTATTAGACCTAAGTTGAACTTAATTATCTTTATGAAAAATAAATGACCTCGTTTTCTTTTCATGAGGTGAAATATTTATTTGTTTGTTTGTTTGTTTATTTTTGTTTGTTTAATGTTTGGAAAGATGATCTTAATTGTCGTGAAAATAAAGTCACAATGCAAAAATCATAATGGTCCTAAAATTAGCTTTATTTTAATAAAAATAATCGTAATAGACCTAAAATGAAATTCATTTTCTTTATGCAAAATATATGTATTTTTCCTTTTTTATGAGGTGAAATATTATTATTATAATTATCGAGGACAGTAAATGCAGATATTGTCTGCATCAGTTCTTCTCTCTTATCAAATGCGTTGTTGCATTAATCCTCAGGCTTTGATCTTTAGCTTCTGATGGCACTCATTCACAATTAATCTGAATTATGAAGCATAGATACTCGCATGAATCAAGACCTCAGAATGAGCCTTTAAAGAGATGCTAGTGCTTCATATCAGCATTCAGCATCAGAGGCTTTTACTTTATAAGTGAAAGTGCAGATAAAAGGGTCGAGACTCAATTTCTTCCTTCCAGACAAGAGCGAGCCCTCAAATCTCCTGCAGGGAGGGAGAATTTCATTGCCAATAACTTAATATCCCAATGGATCCATATTTTTTTATTATTGAAAGTATTGAGTTTTCTCATAGACTGACAGGATTTAGTACTTGAGGTCAAACACTCGTTTGATATATATTGAGCAGACTAGTAAAAATCCACTGCCTTGTCATAAGATTTTGATAGTTTGAGGCAGGAAAATGTCCTTGTTGTTTAATGCATGTGTAATACATGCTCTGTTCGATTCCTGTACAGACGTACTTACAGCTCTGCTCTCGTTCTCTCAGTTAACTACCCTGCGCGGGGCGATTCTGGAGGACGCTGTGCCCTCCACGGCGAGGCACGGGACGGCCCGCGGTCTCCCGCTGAAGGAGGTGCTGGAGTACGTGGTTCCTGAGCTGAACATCCAGTGTCTCCGACTGGCCATCAGCTCACCCAGAGTCCCAGAGCAGCTCCTCAAACTGGACGAGCAGGGGGTGTGTATTAAAGAGCTCAAATACAATTGGATGAGTAAACGATATTCTGATATGCATATTAGGACTGCACGATTTGGGGAAAAAATCGAATTGTGATTTTTCATATAAAAATTGCAAAAAAAATTTTTTTAATGAAATTTAAAATAATTCCAAGTTTGTTGTAAGTAAAATTTGATTTATACAGCACTTTTAAAGCTACAACGCACAAAGTGCTTTACACAATATAAAAACACAATCATAAAAGATACATTTATGAAGAGCTATACACAATATATGATAAAGCAAAAAAAAGATCAAACCCAAAAATACACAAAAACATCACAAAATATTAAAAGCACATCTATACAGGTATGTTTTCAAGCGACATTTAAAAACAGACACACATTCACGAACACGTTGTGCTTGTTTGTACTGTAAAGCTGCACAATTTGACCAAAATTTGGTGAATATATATTAATATGTCTATAAAATAATAATAATAATAACTAATATTAAATAATACGATCAATAAAATCATAAAAGATAAGATAATAAAATCAATGAAAAACACATTATTATTATTATTATTGCTACTACTACTACTACTATACTACTACTGCTACTACTAATCATATTAAATAAAACTACAAGAAATAAAATAAGAAATATTGCTATTGTGATATTTCACCGTAAAATAATAATAGAGAGTATTTAAGAAAATATAATAATAATAATAATTGTATTTTACATGACATCTGTAAAATACAAATATTTATGGCTGTCTTAATTTCCTCATTTTCCAACATTAAACCGCAGAGACCATACATTTATTATTATTATTAATAACAATAATAATAATTAATACAAACTAAAATAAGAAATATTGCTATTGTAATATTTCACTGTAAAATAAAAATAGTATTTAAATAAAATAAAATACTAATATTTATGGCTGTCTTAATTTCCTCATTTTTCAACGTTTAACCATCAAACTTTTATTTTGATGGAAAACCGCAGGGAGCATATATTTATTGAATTAAATTGCAGCCTTTGCCATTGTTGTACTTGCACTAAGTCATTTCACAATTATGGTTTTATTTAGATTAATCGTGCGGCCCTAATGCATGGTGTCTTTTATTAAAGTGCTTTTGCTGATGTTTTTTAACGATAAGCAGCATTTATTGTTGTAATGTTCAGAGTAGTGGTCTATCAATATCGACTGATTCTTGAACATTTAAAAAAAATTTTAACATATGCTTTGATATACTGTATACTTTGTTGATCAGAACAAGCATAATTTAGTCTTGCTTTAATGCAGCATTGCATCTTTAGACTAAATTTTAAGCAGCCTTAACTTGCTGTGTAAAGACGCCTAAAGAATAAGTGAAGTGACCGTTTCTCACAATCCAAATATATCTGCAACACAAGAGTACAGAAAGTGTTCATGCAAATAATGCATGGTCATGTGACTAAAAATCACTTTGCAATTGGTCTCAGAAACACCGGATGTTGAGCTGTTTTTCCCATGTCCACAGGCTTTCAGAATCAGCCAATATGATGTTAAGGGTCGATCAATAACAGCTCCAGTCGCCCATTGATTTCCCAACTTTGAGTGGAAGTGTGAATGAGGTTGGCATATATCCGGAATTACATTTTATTTCATACATAGAGACGTTCCATTCCCGCCCTCTCAATAATGCTTCATAATCGTCTTTAAAGAGAAGTGTTTCTTGAAGATTTTTTTAGTGCTAAATATAGACCTTGTGTCATATGAATGGAAAGCCCAGTAATTTCTTTTTGTCTGGTTATATTCTTTTTTTTTTTTTTTTTTTTTTAAAGAAATTAATACTTTTGTTTAGCAAGTATGCATTAAATTGATCAAAAGTGACAGTAAAGAAATTATAATGTTGCAAAAGATTTCTATTTCAAATAAATGCTGTTCTTTTGAATTTTCTATTCATCAAAGAAACCTGAAAAATAAAATCTATCATGCTTTCCACAAAAATATTAGGCGGCACAACTGTTTTCAACATTGATAATAATCAGAAATGTTTCTTGAGCAGCAAATCAGGATATTAGAATGATTTCTGAAGGATCATGTGCCACTGAAGACTGGAGTAATGATGCTGGAAATACAGCTTTGATCACAGGAATAAATTACATTTTAACAGATATTCACATAGAAAACACTTTTTTTAAATTGTAATATTATATCACAATTTTACTGTTTTAACTATTTTTTTAAATCAAATGAATGCAGCATTACTGAGCATAAGAGACTTCTTTCAAAAACCAAAAAATCTTACCAAGCCCAAACTTTTGAACACTATGTCTTAGTATTTCCCTGTGATATAAATGTCAGACTGTGGATTCACATTGCCACATGTACTGTGAATCTTTTATTTTATTTTTATTGTCGAGATCAGACGTCGTAAGAAAAAGCCCCAGGGTGTTAAGTCTCACACAAGAGACAAAAACAGAAAGAAATAACATTCCATTACTGCATGAAATGCACTTTATTGATCTCAGGTTCATGTTTCTCTGCAGAGGCGTGTAAGGGTTCGTCCCAAAAGAGTTGTGTTTTAGCGTAGACCCTGCGTGGGATCCCATCTGAGTCAGTCGAACAGGAAACTCCTGTGCGTTTATGCACGTTACAGCGAAGCAGGGGAGTCTGGGTAACGAGTGTCGAAATGCTATCAATTAGAACAGACCTGATATGTGTTATTTGTACTGGTGTTTATAATTTAGACGTCAAGTTTAGGCACAAACCACTCTAATTTCCTGCAGAAATTGTATCTAGTTATTTTGCGATTTTGTAGTGGCACTAAAATTACAGGCTTCGCCTTTAAGGAAAGGTTGTGTGGAGATGAACGGGGGTCTTCATCGCTGCCTCTGGGGAAGCAGGTGTGAAAAACAACACCTATGTCACATAATGTGCTAATGAGCCCCCAGTCTGCCACCCGCGCGTACAAAAGAGCCTTACCTCAGGCTACTGCAGGACAGTTTGCTGCTCACTCGATGGTGACAGAAAGTGAGAAGTGAAGCCTTTCATTCCATTTCCCGTCCCTTTTTCCTCTCATACTCGTGTGTGACCGTGATTCCTCATGGGACGACAGAATCAGTGGAGGCTTAGCAGAAACAAAACTTCTGCAGCTAAATGCAACAGTAGGGTTCTGGAAGTGAAGATCTCATTAGTTTTTCCATCCAACTTTAGTAGCATTTAAGACATACCATGAAGTTAAGCAAAAAAATTATAATGTGTTTTATACTATATTATCAATATTAAATATACAATAAAATATATATAATATGATATAAATATTTTATATACAATATGTGTATATATATATATATAATTTTTGTGATGATGATAATAATATACGTTTTTATTTAATACTGCAATATTGTAATATATAATCAATGCACTGCCACACGCATAAAGAATATATATATATATATATATATATATATATATATTAGTTGAAAAGTTTTATAAATATTTAAACTACCTGTTTAATATTTAAATATTTCATTTTTTCTTACATTATGTAAATATTATATGTAATTATTTAATATATTTCATATTGAATCTATATTTAAAAAAATACATTTGTATATTGCACATTTCTGCAAAGATTGGCATTTGCAATGCTTCATTCTTTTAACTTTTTTTTCTTATTTTCAAACAGCTTTTTGCATCTCACAGCTGGTTGGTTTGGTTCAATGCTCAGAACTCTTTATTGATGGTTTGTTAAAAATCCCTTCAGAGAAATGAATGGGAAAAATACTTCCGGAAGCAGTCATGTTGAAAAAGAGGTCGCTCACTGTTTATAGCAGATGCTGTTTTCTGCAGTGTAACGTCAGAGCTGTACGGGTAATAAATGACTGTATGTTGACAGCATGTTTGCTGGTGCTTGAGTCGTGAGAAGAAGTCATTCCTGCCCCGAGGGCTGACGGGAGCAGGGATGTCACTCACAGCGGTCAGGATGGCGTTATGTAAAGCACTCGACTCTGTGCCTCCATCACTAGCCTGTGCTTCTTCTGTCTTGTGGCGTTTCATGTCATTGGGAGACTTATCTGGGTCTGTGTTGAGCTCTTGGTTAGGAACAGACAGAAGAATGTGTTTCATAATCTTTATCCTCTCAGCTGTACGTTTGATTAATATGTCAAGATCTAATTGAAAGTGTGCCAAAGATTTCAGGCTCGGAAATAAGAGATTAAGGCTGGACGATATGACCTAAAATCAAAATCTCTGTTAAATTAACATTTTACCTTGATTACGATTAATGAAGGTTTTTTTTTTTTTTTGCCCTCATAGTTCATTGATAAGGTTTCAACTGTAAATATACTCAACTATTAAAGGTGAGATTTTTTTTTTCTAATGAAAGTGCATTTCTTATCTTTGTGATTCAAAAATTATCGAAGGAAACATTATCGAAGGTTATTTATTGAATATTTCGAACATTTGAAATCAATGCACACATTGCTTGAAATTAAAACATCTTATGAAAAGTCACATTTCATGTTTAATGTAAAAAGCAAGTTTCCTAAAAAAAATAAAAGAAAATAAATTACTTACATTTTTTGCAAACAAAATAAAATGAATATTGCCATGTTAAAAGTAGAAAATAACCAGCATTTCTTGCAAACAAAATACATTTTAAATATTGTCATGTGAAAAGTAGAAAATAGCTTGTATCTCTTGTAAATGAATATTATTTTAAATAATGCAATATGAAAAGTAGAAAATAAACAAATATTTGAAATAATGCCATGTGCAAAGATGTAAACAGAACACTGCTGATTCAGAGCAAGAGCAGGGCTTGGACAGGGCTGTGTGCTCATAACGTTATAGATGTGAATCTGACTCCTGATCGCTGTTGCATGTGATCATCCTGTCCCTCTATTTACACAAATATTTACTCTAGGTTCTTACTGGCCATTCAGACAGAACATGTCTTCACATCTAAAGACGTGAGATGCAGCGTTCAGGAAAAATGTCATACACACCCGTATAGCGC